TCAGAATGGCTTCTGCCTGTCCTTTTCCCCGTGACTATCAAGACTGTCTTCTTTTCTTCTTAATCCTTGTCCTCGTTCCAACAAATTCTCTTGGATCAACGCAAAGATGGAGAAATAGTCGGAACTTGTAAATGCTTGCTAGCTATCTTTGCGAGAATTGAGAAAACAATAGTATTCAAACGCTTGCTCTCAGTCCAGCCCAACCCGTGACCTTCCAGTACTCCTGTGTATCTACCTTCCAATTCAAATAATCGCCAAGGGATGGTGATGGAATGAGGGATGGTGATGGAATGAGGGAAGAAATGCTAGGCCGAAAAGCCGCGTCCTGCAAAAAGCCAAAATGCGGGGAGTGGAAATGAAGGAACAAAAGAGACTACCAAGACTGGGTAAATGCAAGAAAACAGCGCTGTGGAGTAGTGAAGCAATGAAAATCGAACGTTGATAAGAGAAAAAAGAAAAGAGTGAAGTGAAGTGATGTGAAGAGTTGTGGAAGCGCCGAAGAGAAAGGGATTGTCAGAGATACAGTCATGTGATCGTGGAATGACGCATTCAACCTCTCCTTGTCAGACTTGAGGACTAACTTGCTTACATTCAACTTATTTGAAAGAGATATTATTGCTTTCTTTTTCAATATGAAGCTTACATTTGCTGCCCTGCTGGTCCTACCGCTGGCATTAGCCGGATCGATCAAGTCCGTCATCATTACTTTCCCCAAGGGAACGCCTGACTCGGTGGTAAACCAGGCTAAAGATTGCCTGGTGGCTTCAGTATGCATTGTTTCTTTGTTCCCATGAATTTGCTCTGGCTCTGAACTGACGCTTATAGGGTGGCGTCATCACGCATGAGTACCGTAAGTTCTACTTTCTACCTTGCCCATATTTAGATATAGAGATATCATTTCATCGAAGCTAACATAGTTTTCTTATTCAGATTTGATTAAGTACGGTTTCAACTGACGTTTATGTCTTATAACCCATTTTCTAACTATGGTTTTAGTGGCTTCGCCGCCGAGGCTCCTGTGAACGCTCTCCAGACCCTCTCCACGCAGGATACTCAATACAAACCGAATATTGAAGAAGATAAGATTGTCAGCGCGTACGGAGACTATGCGGCTGCAGTCTAATATGCCTTCTCCAATGAGATACCGGGCGTTGTGAATCTCAGTGTTCTGAGCGTATCGTGACGTCCGGAGGCAAACCCTTGTTGGGACCATATCAGAATTACACCCTCAGAACGATTTGGATGATTTAATACCTCGGCGTTTGGATACAGTGTGGAGAGTAAATGGTTGAGCCCTTATGCTTCAGCCAAGGGCTTCTGGGAAGGGAAACATATCGATAGTTTTACTGGTTTTCTTACAATCTACTCAAAAAGACATACATGTACAATATATTCATTATCACAATGTATGATTTATAATTAAGACTTGAGTTATGTACTTAGAAAATCGAAGAGCATAGTCAACATAGGGCCGATCATCCTTCCCCCACCCGCTAGTTGACTCCCGTCCTTGTGGCCCCGAAGGCGCGTGGATCTGGAAACTCCCTCGAGAGCCATCTTGCGTTGTAATTCCTTGGAGTCTTGGAAATGCTGGAATTGCTGGAATTACAGGCTTTTTGAACACTCGGTTAAAACACGTCACCAAAATGGCGTCGGAACACACGGTGACCAAGGTTCTGCTAGAATGGATCAACAGCTTCTCCTTGGGGAAAACCCTCCGAGCAACCGATGAATTGACCGATGGAATTATTCTGTGGGAGATTCTTCAGGATATTGACCCTCAATATTTCCTTGAGGAAATCCCAGAGCGCCACTCCTCCGACCATTGGGTGGCCAAGTGGCAGAACCTGAAGCACATCCACAAACTACTGCTCAACTACATTCGACACCAAAACGATGACATCCTACCCTCCGGTCTCGATCCATCGCCCGATCTCGAATCGATTGCCGAAAAAGCTTCTGCCAAGGAAACGAACAAGCTGCTAAAGCTTCTCCTGATCGCGGCCATCAGCTCCCCCAACGCCGGAACATACGTACAAACACTTCAGGAACTTAGTACCTCGACACAAGAGGGGCTCAGGGATATTATTGAGGAGGCGCACAATGGCCAATACGAGCCCATGGACGCTGCGGACGAGCTCAGGGAAGACCTGGCCAAGCACGATCGCCCTGTGGACCTGGAACTACAGTTCGAAGAACGCGTCGGAAAGGTGCTCGCGGAGAACGACCGTCTTACGCATGAGAAAAAGGAATTGGAAAAGGCATTGGAGGACTTGCACAATCGCCTGGCGCGTCTCCAGGAGAACAATGACACCCTGCAGAACCGTCTCGCCTCCACCGAAGACCGGCTGGTTACCTTGAAATCTGGAAAGGGTGATATCGGTCACAATGCAAAGGCACTGGAGAGCAAGACTCGTCAACAGGACGATCTAATTGCCTCCCAAGAAGCCAAGTTAACCGCGGCACAGGACGAAATTGACAGTCTTCGCATGACAGTCGAGTCCTTGCGGATCAAGAACCAGCGCTATCAGAAGTTACAGGATGACTATGATGAGCTCCGTACCGAAAAGGATCAACTCGCGCGCAAGGCAAACGCGGCTGAGAAATACCGCCAAAAGCTGCAAGCCAGTCAAGACTTTGAGAAAGAGAACCAGACCCTCAAGAACCAAATCAAAGATCTTCAGCAACAGCTGAAAGAGTCAGACTCGCAGCAGCGGTGGTCTGCGGAGCGCGATGTGGAACTGGAAGAATATCGCAAGCTTCTGCCACAAGTTGAGCAGGAATGCAATGAGATCCAGAACTTGAAGAAGCAACTCGAGTTCAATAACCATGCGCTCACAGAGCGATTGGAAAGTGCCGATGAACAGCACGAGAGAGATGATGCTTTGATCAGCGAACTACGTGAACGCCTCGGAGAAATGGACGGCTTGCCGGGCAGCGCGTCGCCTGGCTCTGAGACGCCAAAGATGCAAGGGACATTGCACAAGGACTTTGAGGCACTCGGTGTCAAAGAGTCTCACCTGTATGTATACATTATGCCTTCGCGGCCTTATTGGATTCTGACCATTGACAGTAAATCTGACAACGATGACTCGAAGCGGGAAATGGAGTCGGTCAAAGCACCTTCAGCTGTATGTGTACCATCTGTTCTCTACAAGTCTATACTGATACTAACAACCAGCAGCCAGCCTCTCATACTGAAGGCTTCTCTGAAAACTTTGTTGCATCCGTGCAGCTGGCGCGCTCTGGTTCCACCCAAAGGTTTGATTGCCCGACATTTCGTTTTAATGAACAGAATATCTAACATGCTTCACAGTCACGACTATTGGAAACTATACGAGAACTATACCGGAGCTCTCAAGAAGATTGCAGAGGTCCAAGACACCTTGGAAACAGCAAGAAGGGACCTGTCTGATACACAAGCTGAACGTAAGTTTTTTTTATTGCTCTGATTCCACACATCTGAGAGATACACGTGACTTACAATCTTGAAGTTGGCCTTGTCAATGCAGAACAGGTTGAAATGCTCCAAGGACTCGAAGCGCATAACTCGGCTGAATTGACAAAAGTCCGGGACGACCGGGAAAGTCTCACACAGAACGTCCATCACCTAGAGGCTGAAGTTGATGCCAGCCAGACGCTGGTGCGCGAGGTCTGTGCGGAACGAGAGGAATTGCGCAAGATGCTCGACAACAAGCAAAGCGAGATCAGCTCCGAAGATCAGGAAGTTATGAACGAGATGCAAATGCTCCTAGGCGAGTTCGAAACCCATAATAACGAGGGCGGCGAAGTGCCCCAGAAATCGAGCTTCGAGCTCTTGAAGCAGTGTGCGGGAGTTCTGGAGAAGAACGTTGAACGACTTGCTCAGCGTGCGGAGGTCAGTTTTCCCACAAAAGATCCTCGCTACGTCTTATTCGGTTTGCGTCTGCTAATTCTAGCTTGGTTCTGTAGTACATCCAGCAACAAAATGAGCTGGTCAAATCACTTCGTGAGCGTATGAAGAACTACGAAGAAAACCTGGACGATGGAATGTCCAAAGAGCGAGAGGTAAGTCAAAAATGGAGCTGTTTATGCTTCGTCCCATGATTCTGTTAGGCTTTAGCAGTATGCTGATGACAGTTTTTAGCTTGAGCTTCAGAATATTATCGACAGCCAGGCCCGAGAACTCAACCTTGTGGGCTCGGCTTGGTATCACCTTCAGAGCCGATGGCAGAACAACAATATGACGGTATCACGATATCGACATGGAGCCAGCACGGGAGATTCTAAGGGCTGGCTAGCAAAGCAAAGAAACGCTGTTACTGGTTACTAGACTGCCTTACGAATCAAGTTTGTGTCTTTTTCTTTTATATGTGTTTTATTTGTTTTTGGTTTACTGGTTTGGATGTTGATATTCCCACTATACATCCCGTCTTATTCTTGTGATTACTTCTTTAGCAATAGAATATATGTCATCCAAATAAAACTTGTCATTCAAAGAGCCCAGGGTCTTGATAATGTAACATGAATCCATGTGAAAGTAGAGTGAGTTCTTCGCATTCGGAAAATGTAAGCTACCTAAATAGATCCCCGCAAGCAATAAAAGATGTCTATGAAAAATACAAAAGTCTAGGTAATTCACCCAGCCCAAGAAAGGATAATAGAAGGGGAAATGCAACAATTATAAAAAAGAAAGTCTCTATACAACCTGACCGAAAGCGGGAATCAGAGTCTGTGCCAGCCAGAAGCTGAAGACCAGCTTGGGGCCTGTCATCAGCAGCTTGGGGGTCAGACCCTTGAAGAAGCTGGTAGGGCCCTCATTCTTGAGCATCTTGGAGACGATCTTGAAGCCAGACTCGGGGTTCTCGAAGTTGCGGTTCTGGATACGGGTCTTGATGACATCGAGGGGAGCGGACACGACCAGGGAGGCGCTAGCACCGCAGACTGAAGCGACGAAGTTCTGGGCCCAGGTGGCAGTGTTGTAGTCGGTCAGCTTATAAATCTTTTCCTTGGCGAAAGCAGATCCACCGAAGAGCTGTAAAAAAAGTCAGTGGTGGTTCATGGTTCAGTGATAGCAGACCGAGGAAGAGCATACAGCGAAGGAGCCAGGGGCATTACGGGCGGCAGTCCAGCCAGCACCACGGTACAGACCCATACCCTCATCGGCAACAATCTTGAACAGGCCACGGCCACGGAAGGCCTCAGGGTTAGTCTGGCGCTTAATCTTAAGAACATCGAGAGGGAGCAGAACGATCTCTCCAATGCCGATCAAACTAAAAGGTTTCCAGTCAGGTAAATTCTTAGGCCCAATTGTTCCATCGTTCTTACCTTCCAGCAGTAGCGTGCATAATGGCCTTTCCGGTACCCTTGCCAAATGCCTTATCGAAGTCGGCACCGTGGTTCTGAGCGAGGTAATCGCGTGCGAAAGGCTGACCGCCGTACTTGTAGATGCGCTGGAGGACCTATAGATTTGAAACGGTATGAGCTGGTTGTTCTCCCGTTTCTCTTTTGCCGGTTAGAGTCACGAACCTTGTAGCCAGCAGCGTATCCCAGACCGGGGAACAATGAGGTGAATTTGCGGCCAATCGAGGCATTGGCGTGTTCCTTGAACACAACCTCCTTGAAAGCGGTAGCGTTTGAAATCTGTGAAGGATCCAGTCAGCAATAGGTACACCTTCATTTGTAAATGATCCGAATCTCACCCGGGTCTGGTTGCTCATCAATCGCTTGGCGGTGGTGTCAACCTATGGACGTCAGTTTCTAGTTGCAATGGGTCTGGAATCGGAGATCATACGGGGTGGAAGATCATCAACTCAGCAATACCGGCAGAGCCTAGAAGGGTCACAGGTCAGCCATGAGTCTGTGTTTTGAACATCTGACGACTTACCGGAACCAAGGAGACGAGCAGTGGCAGACTCCTTCTTGACATCCTTAGAGGCAGCGCCAGCACTGGGGGCAATAGTGGGAGACATATTTTTTTTCTAATTGTAAATAAATCCCAAAAAAGAGCAAGAGAATGAGAACGCCGATAGATTCAGGAACATGTGCTCGGAGTTAAATTTTATCGAGGCGGATTTGGCACTAGTCCCGTTTTGGAGCCGCCATCGGAGAGCCAAGGAGTTGCGAAAATACTATACTTATGTGTATATGTATGTATTAGAACGATGATACTTAAAAGGTATCAAGAAATAAATTGTCTAATCTCTTTATTTATAGAATATGATTCCGTTTTATAAACTCATTTTCCCTGTGAATAACCCTAAATAACCCCACAGTTCTATGGAAATAGGAATCAAACCCGCATCAGAATCCGTCTGAAACTGAAAATGGATGTGATACAACATGATGCTGACTGTATGCAGTAAATAGCATAAGCGATATCAGACATCTGGAGAGCGCTAATATATCTGTGGGGTGAACTATATAGGGTTAGCGTTTGGGGACATTCCATGGTCCCGAGAATTAACTGCTGCTCTCGAGTATACATACTACATATGTATGTACAGTAGAGTCAGATCCAAATACTTATCTACAAAGTAGGGCATGTATGTGTCTATAGTTAGATCAAGGCTAAAGAAATCATGTTGCTCTTAAGTGTAAACACTTTATCTAGCCTGATCTGTGGTTTGTTTCCAAGTCGGTGCTCCATCATTGCTCGACGGAACAACCAACATATAAAAAAAGAAATTTGTCAAAAGAATCACAGAATACTACCACAACCAGAGAAAGCTCATAATGATTGTAGTTGCAGCTAAAAAGCATAGTTGCCAAGCAAAGCTAGAAAGGAAATGCGCAGAACACCGAATGAAACGCCAGTGACCCAAAACCAGTATCCCAAGGTTGCAGAAGCCTTCTCGTCTGCCTGTTCATCCTTCGTTGACTCACTCGTGCAGGTTAGAGTGACTGAACAGCAAAGCAAATGAGAGAGAGACGAAGCAACCTCTACAGGTCACCGAAAGTGTTCTCGCCCGAGTATCTAACCGTTATGTCAGTATGATTTCATTTATTAACAAAAAGGGAAAACATACGTGATGTACAAGAAGCCATCTTCGTCCTTGTGCTCTTCATAGATGCTGCTCATGAGCGCAGCAGTTGGAGGTAGGACCTCATCAACGAAGATAAAGATAGCCTTCTCGGGGGAGAGCTTTATGCGCTTGCGGATCACATAAACAAACTGTCCCACGGTGAGGTCGGCCGGCACTAAGTACTTCTTCTTGTCGATGGTGGCGATATCGGACTTCTCGACCTTCTCGCAGATGACCTGTAGGTTGACAGTCCGTTAGCTACCGAACAAGCGGTGAGGGTCTAAGAACTTGGTTGCAGCAACCACCTCCTTCGGGAGGAACCCCCTGGAATCAAAGATACTCACAGGGATCCTGTCGGCATATTTCTGGCGGATGCGCTCGGCCTCAGCCTTTCGCTTCTCGAAGGGGTGCTCGTCCTTGAACTTGGATCGCATCGTGACTGATAAGGGTCGATAAGTGAGAGCGGGTCGGGTGGAGAGTAAGTAAGATCAAAACACCAGGAAGCTCTGGTGCAAGGTTGGTAACAGTAGTGGGTTTCTGATGGGAAGCTCTAGATGTGAAGTAACTTGGAGAAAGTAGAAAGAGAGAGATGAAGAGGGGTGATAGAGGATGACAAGGCGATTCCCCCGCTGACGTTACGGTAATACCATCACGGGATCCATGGGCGGTGAGTCAATAGTCACGCGGCAGAAATCAGGTGTCTCGAGGGTGCCTGCTCACGTGGATAGCAAGACATATCCATGGATATTATTTTTACATACTATATCAGTGGATTAAGATACCTCCCAATATACTAGTCAGGCTTTGAACTAATTGAAAGCAATTTCACCAATACCGGGGATTATGTGTACTGCCCCGGTGCTGCCTATTTTACTTGGGCAACTCTCCCGGGCCGCTTATCGTGCTTATCTCATCCAGCCAAACAGATCAAACTCAGCTCTAAGCAAATCGTACGATTTGAGACCGGGGTTGCGTGGTATTTCACTGAATTGTTGACTCAATTCAACTTCTTCCTCAAATCATTCTGTGTACAGATTTGGGTTATCATTCTCTCGGTTTCGGCCATCGGATTGTTGATACTTTGTGCCGGCAGCCATTCGCGCAACCAATCCTATTCCAAAAATGGCCACTCGATCATACACACCTCTGCGGAGGTCACTGGGGCAGTTGTCTGCTCGAAGCACTCGAATTGCCGGTCGTCGCGCTGGACCCTCGTTCCGCGGGTATTCTACTGGACAGAATCCGCGTGAACCAAAGCCATTCACTGTCTGGAGGCCATACTTGCGCCTCGCCTTTGGTGTGCCTTTCATCGGCGGGATTATATACTCAATGGTATGACACGGTAATTCAAGATGTGAGGAAATCAATTTGCTTATTTATTCCAGATGACAGAGGAAGTCACGGAACTCGACGCTCCATCCATGGTCGAAGTGGATGAGGCCCTAAAGCAATCATCGAAAATCAATGAGTCCTCGCCGATGCGGTTACGGATGGAAAAGCTCATCAAGCAACACCAGCAGAAGATTATCGAGGAACTAGGCAGAATAGATGGGCAACCATTTAAGACAGATACCTGGTCGCGCCCCAATGGTGGCGGCGGCGTTTCATGTGTGCTGCAGGACGGAAACGTCTTCGAGAAGGCAGGTGTCAACGTCTCCGTGGTGTACGGCAAACTGCCCCGGCCGGCCGTTGAGAAGATGCGTGCCGATCACAAGTCCTTTGTTGGCTCAGATGTGGACTCGCTAGATTTCTTCGCCGCCGGTCTCTCGCTTGTCTTGCACCCACACAATCCCATGGCTCCGACGGTGCATCTCAACTACCGCTACTTCGAGACGTCGGATCCCAAGGACCCTATCAACGGGGACAAGAACTGGTGGTTTGGAGGTGGCACAGATCTGACCCCGACCTACCTCTTCCCGGAGGATGCTCAGCACTTCCACAAGACCATTAAGGATACATGCGACCGCCACGATGCCACCTACTACCCCAAATTCAAGGCCTGGTGTGACAAGTACTTCTACATCCCCCACCGTGGCGAATGCCGTGGCGTGGGAGGTATCTTCTTCGATGATCTCGACGCCAACTTCCTTCAAACTTCCGCCGGCTCCTCCTCCAACCCGCAGGAGACACTGTTCTCCTTCGTTTCGGACAGTCTTGCGTCTTTCCTTCCTTCCTATGTTCCCATCATTGAGCGACGCAAAGACATGCTGTACACTCCAGAACAAAAGGAGTGGCAGCAGCTTCGTCGGGGCCGCTATGTGGAGTTCAACCTTGTCTATGATCGCGGAACTAGCTTTGGCTTGCGCACACCCAATGCCCGCATTGAAAGTATTTTGATGAGTCTCCCACGTACCGCTAGCTGGGCTTACATGGACCCTGTCTCTGGTACAAGGACAGAGAACATGCCTGTGGATGAAGATGACCTGACAGAGGATAAGACCAGCGAGAAGGAGATTATGGATGTGCTGCGCCACCCCCGACAGTGGGCATGATTGATCCATATGCCATGTTCGGTATATGGTGTCATATGGTGTTTTCTTGATTTATATATGTATACTACCTAACAAACATTGTAGACTAAATGTGAATAATTATTGAGCTGGATATCTCTACAGTCATCTCGAAGGCAGTCCTAAGTAAAAGAGACGAAGCCCACAACTGATAAAGGGATTTTCATTCTCGATCGACCTGAGATTGTTACCCTGACACCTAAGCATAGTTAGCGCCAGGGGTCGGATGTCTGACTTTTCAGGGCCGATACTTGAATTAACCACCTAGCTACCTAGGCAGTTAGTTAACCAACCATGATTAGTTAAATAACTATGCCCCTTCCCGAGGTCGTAGCCGAGAGCTGACTCAAGAGCCCCGGAATTCCTAATGACTACTCCTCAAGAGCTCCGCCCGTGGTTAATAGTCGTCTCAAGTAAGTGAATGTGGTAGGCCTGTGGTATCTGCCGCATTTGATGCTATGTGTCTCTAAGCACTCCATCCTGAGATACGCGAAAGTTCGTAATCATGAGAATCGGCCAATATTCTGGCCTAGGGGGTTTACTACTAGAGAGGAACATTTTGTTTATTATACGAGTAGAGCTTTAGTAAGTGAATTACGATTAACAGAACTATGAATAGGAAGTATTCTTCTAAGTCTGTGTCACGAAGATAGACTCTTTGACCTTTGCTCTGATAAAACATGTATCAATTCTTCGTAAATGAACGAGTCCTCGGTAAACTAATAGTGTCACGTCCTAGCATAAGAATGTTCATTCGGTGTTCACTTAGTGAAGCGACATGCAACTTGCATGGCCATAGTTAGTCGGGACAACCAAAGCGGCATCAAAGGTGGCTAAATTGACGCCTGGTGATTCACTATTACACTAGCCGTATTGCCGAGGTCTAGTACTGAATCATCTATAGTATCAAGCGGGAAGTGTTCTAGAACGTTGAGAAAAGGGGCAAGAAGGAGTTCAATCCATCAACGTAAAACGGTCCATAACAACCTGGTTATAATCACGAATCTCAACCTCGGCGAAATCAGCGGCGAGAATCGCACAGAAGAGTTTGGTATCTGCGCGATCTAAAATTGTGTAAGCAGTTCGAGCCAGATGATCTAGCATTGCGCGGGAATCTTTACCATAGGAACCGCGGCATGGTAGTCTGGCAGTCAATGATGAGCCAGTCTTTCAGAAGGCTGGCTGTTGCTGAAGGTCGTATGGTCAGCCTGCTGAACACGCAGGTGTTGATCCAAGACCCGTACGCTCCTCCCTCCGTGAACCTCTGGCAATGGTCACTTAGGCGATCACCTTCTCACAGGATCTCAATTCCCCATCCGACGCTACAAGGTCCTTAGCTCATTAAGGCCGCTGCGGTGCATGAGCTTTAATGGAGCCGAATATCGAGATCTCAACTCAGGAAACATCACGTGTAGAACAAAATTTTGTGCTATCTGAAGGGGAAGAGGGAAAAAGGTGAGAGAAAAGTGAGGAGAGGAGAGCAGGCCCTCACTAGGGAGTATAAGATCCCTTCAGTTACTCTCTGATAATAAAATCAGAAAGTTTTGTCTTGGGAGACATGAAGAGTGAAAAGTACTGATATCTCCAGAGTGCAAGTTTACGTGCGTTGCACGAGGAAAGATGGTGTGAAGCAAAGCAGAGTGATGATTACTCGGAGGATAAAAGTGAAGCTGAGAGTATAGTAATGAAGCAAGTGGGGTGTTGAGAAAGCTTGGATGTCATAGTAAATCTGGGCTCCCTTATAGTAAGATAGAAAGACAGATCTTACGCGCAGACACCTATGAATACATACCACATCTAGGTACCCATATGTTGCATTGTTAGATCGCGAATGGAAACAAGACTAAAGATTACAAGATTTAACAAGATCCAATTGAGTTCATACCGGTCTTGAGTGTATTCGGTACTCAAAGGTACACACATACTACTATACATGGCGGTCAAAGGGATAAACCCACGTCTATATGTGGACGAAAACACCAGCCATGCTTCCGGTGTGCCCAATTAAGAAAAACATAGGAAAGAAAAGGTAGACATCACGGAGCATGGACTGGTAAATTGTCCCAAATAACCCCCCAAATTCCCCTTTTTGAATGCAATCAATCCGACAGAATCGCTTACTGGCGGAAGACTCCAAGAATGCTCTTCCAGACCTGGCCAGGCTCCTGGCTGGCATCAATGCCGCGCCAGATACCGGTCTTCTTGTAGTACTCGACAACGGGGGTGGTCTGGGCGTGGTAAGTAGCCAGACGCTTGGTGAGGGTGTCAGCATTGTCATCGGAACGCTGGATCAGCGGCTCCCCGGAGACGTCGTCCTTCATGTCCTCCTTGGGCGGGTTGAAGATCTTGTGGTACGAGCGGCCAGAGGCAGGGTGGACCAGGCGGCCGGTGATACGAGCCACCAGCAGGGAGTCGTCAATCTGCAGCTCAACGGCGTGCTGAAGCTTCTGGTCGCGGGCGATGAGCATGTCATCGAGACGCTCGGCCTGCGCAACCGTCCGGGGGAAACCATCCAGAATGAAACTGTCCACCTCTCGTGTTAATTCCAAATAAATTGGGAAGGGGAATGTAGATGTACGCACCCGTTCTTGCACTCGGCATTGTTGTCCAGCTCGCTCTTGATCATGTTGACCATGATCTCGTCGCTGACGAGACCACCCTGGTCCATGATCTTTTTTGCTTCCTTTCCAAGGTCGGTCTTCTTCGCGACCTGGGAACGCAGCATGTCTCCGGTGGCCTATTCAGGAAATATATCAGCGGGAAGAGCTTATGCTGTACTCAGGCAAACTTTCTACTCACCAGGTGGCACGCGCAGTACTTTTCCTTAAGCTTCGGGGCTTGAGTACCCTTGCCTGATTGAACCGTTAAAATCCATTGCATTTTTTCCAGTTATAGTTCAATCGCATACCTGCACCAGGAGGGCCCATCAGGATGATGCGCATCTGCTCGGCGACGGACTTTGGCTTGCCGCCATTGGCGAGACGGCTCTCAAGCTCGGACACCTTTGCCTCCAGCTGCTGGATAGTGGTTTTCAAACCGGAGACGGCCTCTTCAGTGATGGGAGCCATTGTGAATTGTAAGAGGGGAGAGGGTTGAAGAAGGGAAAAGCTGTGGACGGGGAAACGGAGAAATGGGGACAGGGAAGATTCGCAAGGAACTTAGCGCCCCGAGGTTCGGAGAGCACGGGCTTCACGGGGGAATGGACGGAATACATAGTACATAGTACATTCTGCAAGAGGCGATGTATACCCGTGGACATTAATATGCTGAGACAATTGACATATTTAGATCTAGTTATCTTATTCTATCTCTAATTAATTAATTAATTAGTTATTCATGTACATATTCTAAGCTTCCAAGCTTCCTCTATGTTCACCGAGAAAAGTGAGAAAAGTGCAAGGTGGCCGCTTACTAAGTTCTCCAGCCTCAAGATGGCGCAGCTCTGTGGCGGAGAGCTTTCAAGAGCACCTGTGCATCATCGCTTTCCATCCACCGCATTCTCCTGTCTCGCATTGATTTGCTGTTTCATTGGATTTTATTTGATCTACGAGCTTTAATCATCCTTTGTAGCTCTCGATTTCTTTTCACATTTTCTCCCTTTCACGATGCCTGCCACCACGGCGGACACGCTATCCCTCGTCAACCGTTCCGTGACGGTTGCCCCGTTAGTGCTCCTCTCCGTCGCAGATCACTATGGAAGAACGGCAAAGGGTACCCGGAAACGTGTCGTAGGTGTGCTGCTGGGTGAAAACTCGGGCGATAATGTCCGGGTATCAAACAGTTTTGCTGGTGAGTGCAAGCTTTCGGTGGTAAACCCCATAAACAGATGAGCTGACATATATGTTTCTATCTCTCTAGTCCCATTCGAAGAGGATGAAAAAGACCCATCGGTGTGGTTCTTGGATCACAACTTTATCGAGTCGATGAGGGATATGTTCAAGAAAATCAATGCTCGCGAGAAGCTAGTTGGCTGGTACCACTCGGGTCCTAAGCTGCGCGCTTCGGATTTGGAGATCAATGAGCTCTTCAAGAAATACACGCCCAACCCTTTGCTGGTTATTGTTGATGTACAACCGAAGGAAGTCGGTGTCCCTACAGATGCTTACTTCGCTGTGGATGAAATCAAGGATGTGAGTTTGCATTGAATCCGAAGAAGCATCCATCAGGCCATCAGGGCTAACCAGGGCAAATTTTGTCTTTCTTTTTCATTTGCAGGATGGAACAACAACCTCCCGGACATTTGTCCACACTCCATCGATAATCGAGGCAGAAGAAGCAGAGGAGATTGGCGTGGAGCACCTCCTCCGGGACATCAGGGACGTCGCAGTCGGCACACTTTCCACCCGTATCACGTCGCAGCTGCAGTCGCTGCAAGGATTGCATCTGCGGCTACGCGATATCGGCCAATACCTCCAGAAAGTTCTCGACAAGGAACTTCCCGTCAACCACGCCATTCTGGGCAACCTCCAGGATGTTTTCAACCTCCTTCCCAATCTGTCCACCCCACCGGCGACGCAGCGGAGCAGCAGCCAGGAGACACAGATCGAGAACAGCGAGTTGGCACGGGCCATGAGTGTCAAGACCAATGACCAGTTGATGGCTATCTACATCAGCAGCTTGATCCGTGCCATCACAGCTTTCCACGACTTAATCGATAACAAGATCCAGAACCGACAGCAGCAAGAGGAGAGTGACACCAAGCGGGACCAGGAGGCCAATGGAACTAAGGGAGACAAGGATGCCAAGAAGGCCGGTTCACCAAATGGCGAACAGAAGGAGGAGCAGGATAGCTCCGACAAGAACAAGAAGAAGAACTAAGGGAGTTTTCTTAATTTATTCTCTTCCGGAAATTCAACCCAATGAGTGAAGCATATGACATTCCAACCAAGTTTTCTCTCGTATCTCAATATGTCCATATATTGGATAGTTAGTCCGGTCAAGATCCTATCCATGGATAGCAGTCCAAGTCTGTCTATTTCGCACAGCGTACAAAAACCTTAGTATTCTCTGTATACTGTATATTTAAGTACATCTAAAGTAATAACACTGCCATTGGCGTGTCGTTATGCAATCATTCCGCAATTGTAAAGGCTCCGCCTTCGTGGGCAGCCGACTTCTCATGCAACGATCGATTGCCCGGACATAGGCAGACGGTTCATGTGGAATGGACAAGGTTCCGTAGTAGGACCCGTCGTCATCTGCGGGACACCTGGGACGGTTCTCGTATGGTCGCTTCAGCAGCTGCCACGGGGATCAAGGACTCTTTGTCCAAGTGCATAATATTCATCGTACATCGATTGGTGTGGATATGTCAATAGCCAAGCAAATCAGCCACACCAACCAGCACACCAGCCTGCCAATTCTTCCTTGGAGACGACGAATCTACTATCCCCGTCAACCCCGAATAGCTCAGGGCATCGTGCGTGCAGAATGCAGGCTAGGATATGTTTGCAGCTAGGAGGCGACACCCGAGCCGTACCACGACCTAACGTTCCGCCAAATGAGTAGGCCAACTGGTTCTGTTCGTTTGTCGGATAATTGGCCGGGAGTTGAAAGTCTCGGTATGCAGATAAGGCAAATGTAGGACAACTGCAATTCCAGGCACGCAGCCGAACCTCGTAGCCCTTTTCTTGGGAAGGGGTTGATGAACCCGGAAGTGAAGGCGGTACCGAGGCAGATATTACAATGAAAACATCCTCTTGGGGTGTCTCTGGGGATGTGGCACGTCGATCCGAGCGCACAATTCGACGTACTAGTTTTCGGTCCAGGATATCAAGGGCTGGAAGGAAGTCGTTTGGGAATAGACAGTGCAATGTTAACATCAGTGGTTTTAAGGACTTTGAAAATCCAGCTGGCTGTGCCAATTCTGTGATCAAACGATCGATGAAGATATGAGGAGAATTAGAATCCATTTAGGGTGATGGGAAGGGGGAAAAAGGAGAATTGAAGAATTGAAGAATTGAAACTAAAGAAGAAGAAAAAATCAACTTCCCAAACTTCTACTTCTTCCCCTTCCCCTTCGCCTTCCCCTTCGCCTTCCCCTTGTCTCCTTTTTCATAGTCCCTCGCTTTGCCCAGCACCTTTTTCTTAAATCTGCTATATGTCGTATCTTTTCCCTTGTCGGCTTCTTCCTCCCTCTCTCCCTTCTTCCTCTTCAGTCGATTGTAGTGCAGCCCTTGAACTTCGAGATCCAACACCTTTGACCCTTTCCCCCCATCTTCAGTCAAAGTTATTTCAAGTCGTCCTCGTTGCTTAACCCAGTCGACTATATCCTGATTGGAACTGGTGCCAATATCAGAACTAATCGCAGAAGTCCTTGCTCCTCTGATTGTTTCCCTCTTCTTCTCCCATTCATTCGCCCATTTCTCCCACTCCTTGCGCCTGGCACCCGCTGAACGAGCTATATAGCTATCGACAACCTTGGGGATGATCGCATCCAGTAACTTCCCTAGTGTGTTAGGATCATCTCCCAAGACATTGGCGCCTGATTCTGGGACAGAGTCCTCAGGCGCCGAGGACAATAGTGCGGAGTCAAAATCCGCGAACACACCCCCGTCGTCCAACGCTGGGCCGGAGTCAATTTCCATGGCATCGAACTGTGGGGTTCTCTCTGCGGCTGTCTGTACCCCTGGGCCTGTTTGTCCTTGGTCATTCGTGGGCAACCGGCGGTATGTAAAGAGATAACCGGTGGCGAGATGGACCGGGTTGCCTCCGGGCCCTTCGGGGTCCCAGTCCAAGATTTGACGATCATTTGCCTTGCTCCATTCATCTCCTTTACCTTTCACACCAATGCTGTAATGACCTCGTGTTACATCCCGCCCATGATGCAAGACCACCGAGGTCAGTTTATACTGGACGACTTTCCGTTCGTTGCCCCAGCGTTCATCTATGAACCGTGTCTCAATATTTAACTGCTCGCTCAGATATACGTGAGTGTCGATCTTCTTGCCCGTCTTATCGGTGCGGTTGAGCTGGACCAAGAGAAGCTCGGGAAAACTTCCAATTTGGTCTCTGGATGTCTTTTTGCCTCCACACTGCGGACACGTACCGAAATCGTCCTCATGGCCAAAGTGCTGTTCAATTACATCGCTCAAAGTAGGCTTCTCGGGGAGTATATCGCCCTCCTCCCCGGATAAGCTGATCATCATGAACCGTTGCTGGTTTGATATGTATCTTGGGTCACAAGGGTTCTTTCCAGCGCACCGCGTTGCCATGATGATTTCGACCTCCAACATATCTTCCAAGTCTCCGCGCCTGCAGTCGAAATTCAGTCTTCTGTGTTGGGGATATGTAGAGAATGACATACATCATAGGCTTGGTGCTCTCTTTGATCGCGCTGTAAAGTACATCAAAGTACTCTGCCGGGTCTTGTTCCGAATCTACCCCAGCTGGTTTCCAACCATTCAAGAGCGACTGTGTTAGGGCCTTAAAGGTAGGCTTCCAACTTTCAGATTCACCTGCCCAGTAGCCTTGAGAGATCTCAGTCAGTTGACAAACTTGGCATTGGCTGGGACCTTCTTCGTATAAGCCCAGATTGCAAACATGACCCTTAGGGGCATGGTGCTTCTTGTACCAGGTGAGCCAATTGTAGAAAATCGGCATATGTAGAATCATTTGGAAGACGGCATTTCGATAACAGTCAACTCCGCCATTTGGAAAGCCCACGGTGGTTTTATTGGGCAAGTCTGGATGCCAATATCTGGGGATAACGGTCTATCTTGTTAGGGCGTTGATGCAAAAATAAGGTGGCTGCGCTTACTCTCCATGTCCTTTTCTCTTCTCCGGACTTTGCGCTTGGCTCTGTGTTGTCTTTCACCGCTAACTCTGTATCGACTTTCTCTTCGGCGGCCTCCTCTTCAAGTTCCTCTTCCGGGACTTCCTCCAGATCTTCCTCTGCGATTTGTTCAGCTTTGCCCATGATAGTATACGAAGTGAATGGATGTGATATTTATTGCTCATTTGAGGGGTTTCTAGTTTAATTTATCTTGCATTACAACTAATTTTCATTGTTTTCGTCTTTAAAGAAAACATGGCTTCGACTTGAATTCTTTGAATTGATGGAACCAATGAATCAAAGACGTGAAGAGGATGAAAGAAAGTCAAGAAATCCATCGAGTCAACTCGAGAGGCACTCGTTCAAATTTCATTTGATTATTTCGTTCTTTCATAGATTTCCAGCCGTTCCTCGATTTTGACATCTGATTCGAAGGGCGACTTACACACCCAAACAAAGAAACTTCCTTCGAGAAGGGGCATACTATCTTTCTATTAATAGGACCTGTTTACATCCATATTCAAAGAGAAAGGAAGTGAACATGAACCTATAACTTGGGCATCCCTGAAATTCACTTCGAACTTGCCGGGGACCATCTCAGTGAGATTCCAGTGACATTGCAGTCAAATTTCAGGGCCCAGTGGGAAACGAGTTGGAACCAGCCAATTTCCTTTCTAACTGTATTCCCTGGTCTTTGCGGAAGGCAGAATGTTCGAGACTCTGGACAATCTTAGAGAAATACAAGTTCCACCTCAGTCTATAAAGTGTCTAGAAGGGATTGACCGTCAGATGTGGAGTCAAATGAAATAAGGAATCTCATGGTGATTGGTCGAAGATCCGAAAGCTATTAGTCCTTCTATACGGAGTATCGTTTGTATTCTCTGTACTCCCGTACCTTGTGCACATCACTTTACTATATATGTACGGAGTACAGAGTAGAGAGTATGAGATACACCGGAACAAATATGACCTGCGACGATCCGTATTGACAGCAGGGTTCCTCGCATCTACCGAAGCTCCACCGTTGACCGCACTGCCCTTCAGCTGAAGCAGATGATCTCAACGATCTAATTGGAACCCAAATTCTCCGTTCAATGGGTGCATATGTGGCTAGTGGTAGCTACATACATGAGGTAGAACAAACCTATAAGCTCCAAGAGAAAACCCCCCCTTAAACTCAACTGAAATCATACAGATCATACAAATGACAAAATAATGAGCTTCCAATCAGAACCCACCAAAAAAACGGGTCCAACGGGTGCGTGTGGGATATTTAGGGCGATCCACGACAATAAATAGAAAAGAGAAACACTCCGCGCAGCGCCACCAGCTCTTCGCTACCACTTAAGGTCATGGTTGGGATGATCCGACGTTTGCCCCTCCTTGAAACTCCACACCGTTATTTCTTCATGAGGTCCCCTTCAGCTGATGTGTGCCGTTAGAGTACGGAGTAGACATGCGTGTATCGTCACACTTGTTCCTCACGCATCTGACAAACATCTTTTGGTCTAGGTCTTCAGGCATGCTTGAATTCTCCCTTTACCTTACGATTCCTAATTCTACCTGTCATCCCCTATCCCGTCGGACATAACCCGGGCATTGGTCAACGTATTTCCCCGTCCCAGCGGATCATAAGATGAAGCCGTAGCTACCGAACGGGTCATGTCTGTGCTGGCTCCGAACGAAGCCAAGGGAGGCAATGATCGCCTTACGAACGTTGTACATGATCCACTTACACGTTCGACTCTCTCTTTTTTTCTCGGTTTGCCTTTTGGTTGCCTGACTGGAAAGTCGATGTATGAGATTCGAGGGAAGTATGAACAGGAAGAGGGATTGCTGATCCTTGCATTCGGCTGGACGGACGTTTCAGGAAAACTGATCGTCGTAGAAGTATTAAGGGGACATCGTATAATAACTATATAGTTATACAATATATATACTCCGTAGATAATAATGTAAAATTACTATTATAACTAATATAGTTAAGGATCCAAAGTTCCAAAGTCAGGAACTCGTGTTCCAAGCAGATGCCCGGTTTCTGGGTCACAGAATTGCATTGTACGGGAAATTAGCTGTCAGAAAGGAAGTGGAAATTGTGGAAAAGAAATTGACCCTATTAATTGGAGAAGTTGAATGACCCACTAGTCCCTTAAATCTTGGAAATGCGTGAACGCGTGCCCCGTCGTTCACAGTTCTAAGCCCTGGCGACCTTTAGCAAATTACCAATCTTAAATCTATAGATTAAATCTATAGAGAATAGCATTCTGAGTATCCAATTTCAGGACTGATTCATATAAAGGGAAAAAGAAGGAAAGGCATATTGTTGACTCTTTATATATCCTTTATTAAAAAAAAGTATATATAAAATATATTATACCAGAGAACACATGGACAAGGGTCAGGAACCCCCCCACAGAGCAAGGGGGAATAAGAGAAAAATCGCCGACTGGTTCCATTGACATATAGTAAAATCGTATATTTCCAAAGCCGTTAGAGATCTGGAACTTTCGCAACGGGCTGGGCTCTGGACCGGAGAAGACCGTCATTTAACCAAAGGGTGATGCGGGTCCCCGTTTATTTTATTTTTTATTTTTTATTTTATTTTACAATTTATATTTTATGTTTTATGAGTTTTGAGTTTTGAAATAAAAATAAAAATGTGAATATCACCAATTAGGATTAATTTAGTTGAATTTGTACTAGAGTTGGCATAATTTATGTATACTATGCTACGTCCCTATATTGTAAGTCCTACCGTTTGATCCCACTGCCCCTCTTCCTTTTCTAGGTTAGTATGAAACTCTGCAGGTCTATCAAACATTTTACCTACATCGTCCGTACTTGGAAAGTCGATGGTCTAGAGATTCTTCTACTTATTTATATAGACTTAAACTCCGAAGAACATAAGTCTTAGAAGAAATCCAGGACCGAAGATCAGCCAAAGTAGAGGGGAACTGACCGCATCTTTAATTAAAACCCAGTGGATATTGAAGTATTTTTTACTCTGTAACAGCCATTACCCTTAATAGTCCACCCCCCCCCCAACGGTCTAAGACTCTGCTTTTCTCCTCTCTTCTCTTCAAGATAGGTTTAGATCAGCTGTCACTTCTGGATTCGTTTCACCTTCTAGTTGGATGCTTCATATGGTCCTTTTCCTCCCTTTTTCTTTAAATTCTAGAATCCTTGAATCTTCAACACATTCCACCATACTTCCATACTTCCCCTCATTTCTATTCTCTGATATCCTGGAGATTTCCCAAAATCCCAATTCAATTCAAAAAAAAGTTGGAGATTCTCTTATACGGGACGTTTGATCGTTCTGTCGTCATATTTGGGAGACTTGGGATCACGAGCACCTTCCCTTTTTTCCCTCTCTTTGCCCCTTCCCCCTCCAGTCGGGGATCGCCCTGCTGCTTTGTTTTCTATTCTATTCACTGGTGCTCATCCGCGCATATGATTACGTTACAAAATCGGCCTATATTGCCTCCTGTCAAAGTGGATATCTCACTGCTACTCAAGCCCCAAGATGAGGAAGAAGCCGCCCCGGGCCTGAGCTCCGGGTACCCGTCCAGAACGACAGGGCCATCACTGAGTTTGGGTCCCATGATGACGATGCCAGGCCCGGCTGCTATGGCCATGCCACCTTTGACCAAGACCGGTCCGTCGGGTGCTGCCAAGCGCCTGCAGCCCTCGCATACGTCCGAATCTCCAGCAAAGAAGCAGTCCAAGTGGTCACCAGATGAGGATGCCTTGATCATCGAACTGCGTGGCAGTGGTATGAAGTGGGAGGATATCAGCAAACGACTCCCCGGCCGCAGTGCCATCAGTTGCCGTCTCCATTATCAGAACTACCTGGAACGCCGAAGTGAATGGGATGAAGATAAGAAGAACAAACTAGCCCGTCTATACGAGAGGTAGGTTTTGGGGGGTTAGATGGCTTCTCGGAAAGGAAACAAATCCACTAATCTTACACCCCATCTAATAGGTTCAAAGCCGAAATGTGGTCCAAAGTGGCGGAGGAGATGGCCATCCCATGGCGTGCAGCAGAGGCCATGCACTGGCAACTGGGAGAGCAGGAGATGGCTCGACGTGCAGGTGTAGTGCCATTCTCTCTCTCAAGTGCTGCCATCGACCCTCCAACCACCAGAACACGCCGCGCCAGCACCTCTCTATCCCGGCCGAGAAAGGGTTCTTCCTCACGCGCAATCCCAGGCCACATGCCAGGCCTTCCACCTCAACTTCCTTCCCTTGAAGAGCTCACTGCAGGAGTTCCTGCATACGCACCCGCTCCGCCTCCCCCGAGAGAGTTCTATGGGATTGGACGACCGCCAGAGATGGGGATTCCCCCACCAGGTCTTATGGGCCCTCACCTTGGCATGCCCCCTCGGACCATGCCCTAGGATGAGATGACGATGAAGATGACGCCTACACCTCTTTGAGTTTCCGCCTTTTTTCCTTCTTTTTTCCCTCTCCTGTTTTCTTTTGTGAGTTTTCTGTTACGAATTGCATAGCGCCGGTTGGAGGTATATCGTGATTTTGTGGGGATAGCGAATCGTATAGATGATTTCTACCCCTCGGTGTTCGTTGCGTTCTTTTCTTTTTGCAGAAATTTTGGCGGGGCCAGCAAGTGCAATTGATGTGTCTTTCCATGTCTCCGAGGCTGGCTCTCGGAGTGCGTACCACGGTTTCAAACGCCATGAGCCATTTTGGGGGTTGCGATCGCCCACCAGTTATCTTTCTCGTACCCAGATTCTAGCACACGACCACCAGCATTGTCGATGTCGCGCTCCAGCTCTCCTTCCGCGTACAGGTGATAGTAGCGATGGAAAGTCTGGGGTTGATCACCCTTACGAACCCAGGGAACCATTCGATCTTGCTCGTCGCCCTTGTCCCAACCTCTACGGCTGTTCTTTTGCTCGAGGGCCCAGGCGTAGATCAGGATCTTCCCGCCCTCCTGCGTCTCTGAGCCACGCTTCACAGTTCGCATGATCTCGGCGACAGCTTGGACTCGTCGAGCCGGTGTGGAAAGATGGTGCACCACCGCGATTGAAATCGCAAAGTCAAAGCTTGCATCTCGATGTGGAAGGTCAAGAATATCGGCCACCACGGTCGAATGCGGCTGGTGCTGCAGGGCAATCCGAGCCAGGTTTTCAGATCTGCGACTGGGTTAGCCTAGACCAAGCTAAAGGGATACAATGGATGAGTTGAATGATATCACAGGAAAATAAAGCAGTCTATAGAAAATCCAAAATTCAAAAATCCAAAAGCCAAGAATTGAGCGATTCATATCAAGCAAGACATACCTATCTGAAGCGATGATAAACACATCTCGATTGACCATCAAGTTTTTGCCATTACCACACCCTACGTCTAAACCCACTGCACCTGGTGTTAGGCTCGTGAGGAATTGCTCGACTATAGGCCATGGCTGGAGATGTGGTTAGTTGGAACCGGAGTTTTTAAGCCGGTAGCCAGTTTGAAACACACCTTGTAGCGCGTGGCAGAGAAATGTTGAGCAATCTCCTGGTACACTTTATGGACATTTTGCTGCTCATACGCTTCGCCTGTCTCTTGGGCCATGATGCTCTCGTGGTGAATAAGGTGGGAGCTGTTGAAGAGTTGAAAAAGTCAAGCGAGAATGGATATCACGTGGTTCGCGATTTGTAACGGGCATAATGTCTACATCATATTGGCATTGAATTTTTATAGATATAGACAAAAAAAGTATAGCATTTAAAGCTTGGATTCTATCGAGTTTGGCTATCTTGTTTTACTTTCTAACGGGAAAATGATCAATTGCTGTAGAGTCATATAAAAAGAAGGGTTATCAGACTTGCAGTATGAACGTGGTTCCTATAGTGCAAGTTACTATGGCTATAGCACACATTGCACATATTGCACAATGCACTAGAACATAGCCTGGATTCTAATGGCCCTGGTTTCAATAAAATGGCTATAGATTTGAGTTGGTCTATGAGAATAACTAGACATGTGTTTATAACACAGGATAGCCCATGTTGCAAATTGAAATCTCCAGTCTTCCAAGGTCAGTACTAATTAAAGACATAGTCATGGATATATTTATATATTTTATATATTTATACATTTATACATTTATCGTAGATATTGTAAGTAAGTAAACTTCATCAACCATAATAAGCTATGACTTGGCTTTTATATCAATTTCCTACTGAATGTTGACTGCTTCAACATCCTACTCTGGCATCCCATTTAGGCAATTGTTTATCTACATAACCTGCACCAAACAGGAGTTTCCCTTTTTACCTTGTCCTCCATAATGCCCATATATCATTTGCCAATTCCATTCTCAACTGCGTACTGCGTGTAGCCAACGGTGTTCCTGCCCAGGTGCCCAGGTGGCGGAGACCGCTTACTAATAATCGCTTCTTCGAGATCGATATTCCTTTTCCTGTCAATCACAGGAGAACACAAGATCAATTGTAAGTACGACCTACCTCGTTCAAGGATTGTCATTTTTGTCTACAGTGGCTTGTGTTCCTGCCCTCAGCTGCCACATACTTGCCCCAGAAAGTGCTGGCAGTTTCTTGTGAGCCCCTCAGGGGATTTGATATCAGCAATTCAGCATGCAATGGTGCCGACTGTGTAGTCTGCTCTTGTTCTTCTTCTTCTTCTTTTTGTCTAAGGATTAAGGAATCTAGCTATCTGATTCAAATTTTTTTTCTTTGAATGCCTCGCATCCTACCATCAAAGAACTTGCATGATTCACAGCCCACTCTAACACTTCTTTCTAGAAACACGAAAAGACAAGTCAAGTGATACAGAGACAAGATGGTGTTCCAGCCTACCCCGGTGGATATCTCCGTCATTATCACCAACGCGGCTTTAGCCAAGCCCGGGAATTCGGAGCCTCGATTCCTGACTGAACGCCGCATCACCCCAACATGGACGGTGATGCAGGTCAAGGCAAAGCTGGAGACTATGACAGGAATCCCACCAGGAAGCCAGCGCCTGCGGGTAAAAGTCCCCGGTCGACCTGACCAATGGGCCGATGGGGACGACCGTCTTATTGGGGATTGGGGGTTGGTGAAAGGGTCAGAGATCGAGGTTAGTTTATTAGTTCACTTTTCTATGTTTTTGCTAGCTTTTCGACTCTTCTCCGGCTGCCTTGCCGTAACAAAAATGCCAAGTCTCTTGATTGGAGTTGTCGGGGCAAGAGATTTATGCTGCGAATTCTGAATATGTGCTGATTTGCATCCCCATCAGGTCAACGACAGCCGCCCACAAACCATGCGGGCTAACTTCACCGATTTGTCATCGGTCGAAAAATATGTACTGCCAACTGAGACATACGAGGCCCGTTCAGATTCTGTTTTGGCTTGGAAGAAGAACCAGAAGCTGGGCCGGTTTGATCCTAACGCTCTGTCGCCCGAAGAGGCTCTGCGCCATCAAGTTCAGAAAGACCAGACCGAAGTTCAAATGAAAGGTTCGTTGAAACAATCATCTCAAGTGTCAATGTGATTTCTATTCTTCATTGAGCTAATGACATCCTGGCAGACATCACTGTCGCTAAACGAGCCATCGTTCTGCCTTCATCTCCGCCGCATATTCGACGCGGCACGATCCGCTTCGTTGGACCCGTACCGACTATTCCTATTACCGGGCCGGGTCGGGAGCTGCAACAGGATGCAGAACTTCCGGCAGATCTCCAGCCAATCTGGGTCGGGATTGAGCTTGACGAGCCGATGGGGAAGAACGACGGTAGTGTCGGCGGACAGCGCTACTTCGAGTGCTTGGGCAAAAGGGGCGTTTTTATCAAGCCCGAGAAGGTCGAGGTCGGAGAGTTCCCCCCGTTGGGTCTAGATGACGACCTAGATGACCTAATGGAAGAGATTTGATACTCTGGGTATGTATTGAACAAATCCATTTCGATATTTTCGAATAACTGAGGTTCTGATTCCCAGCTTTTCTCAGCTGCTCTTCCATCACCAATTATCACCAATAGATACTGCATAATTAACTGGAGAAACAGGCGGGAAAAAATGACGCCAAATTCCCTGGTAATCGTATGAAAACAAATCGCTGAAGAACGAATAACAATAAAAGACATTTAGACGCCCACAGAATGAAATTTCAGGGTATCCACGTAGAAAAAAGGTATCATGGCGCGTTGTCGATGCCTACAAACATGAGAACAGGAGTGGAGGACAGAGCTAATGAAAGTGATCATTTGCCAGTCTTCTTCTGCTTGCCCTTGGGGCGACCCTTGGCTTTCTTAGCAGGGACATGAACAGGAGCGGTGGGCGTGTCGGCTTCAAATTCGCTCTCAGGGCCGACATCCTGAGACATTTGTGGTGTGTCGTCTTCATTCTCGTTCTCATCGGGGACACAGCCTTGGGTGAAGAAAAGTCGAGCCTCTTTTTGATGAGTGTTTGCAAAGCTGTAATAGTTACCTGGAGATGGGATCCTGGTGTCAATTAACTGATACGAATCAAGAAGTCAAAGAGGAAATTAGACTCACCACGAGGAACTTGGAAAACACAACCCTTTCCGGCACTAAACTGGACACCTGAGATATCCACTTGAACACGCCCGTGACAGACATAAAAGACCATATGCATTTTCTTCGAGTTCTTGGGTTTCTTGACTCCATCAGGTGGGAGTTCCACAACTCCAGACCCGATAAAAGACGAGCTAAGCAGCTTCGCAAATCGGAATGTTGAGTCTTTGACTTCTCTGGTTTCGATTCCGGAGGGAGCATATGCAATGTCTATATTAAGAAGACTTAATAGAGGAACCGACTATAAAGGGGCTGCTTCATACCTAGGACTTCCTCCTCCTTCGAACTCGTCTGTGTTTTCCCATCCCATTTGAGGGTATAACCATGAAGAACACCGCCTTCCTTCTCCCAGAGATCAACATCCTCATCGTCTGAAGAGTCATCCTTTTGTTTCTTAGACTTAGACTTAAGGGATGTTGAGCGTTTCCCCTTTTTTTTCTTCTTTTCAGGCTCTTGCTCCTCGGTGCGAATGACTTCTTTGATAGTGGAAAGAGGGTATCGATGCCCCTCGGCTGCCTCCCCATCACCGAAGACACACCGTTCATTGCGCCAGTATGCTAGTGGTCGGACCGATACACGCCCAGATCGAGTGTGAGTCGCACTATTGTCGGTGGGAATTTCACGTCTAAGGATATACAAACTTCGGCCTTTCAAAGGGCCTGTGCGGCTGGCGTAATTCTCGATCACGCGATCCAATTCCGGTTCCAAAGGTTCACGCACCGGTGGAGGTGCTTTGGTTGTGTTCCTTTTTTTGGTTGGCCTGGGGTCTGCATCTTCTTCGACGTTACGACGCTGAGACTTTGGACGTCCGCGCGGCGCAGGGGCTTTCGCCTGATTCTTGTCTGCCTTGGCGGTCTTTGG